CATAAATCTGTGAAAACCCCTGAACAGCCCATTGACGGTTTCGTCCTTCTTGAAGCCCACCAAGTAGAGGTACGCTCCCAGTTGAGTCACTATTAAAGTAATTGGCAAATAAATGAATTTCGCCACAAATTTGATTCTTTCAAATAAAGGCATCTTCGTGGATTACAACACAACAACATTGGCGGAATTACTTTCAACTTTGAAGCTCTTCACACCGGCTGTCCCCAAAGTTGTAAACTCCGACTTCCTATCTGACAGGATGGAGACATACGCATCACTTTTCGGGTTACTGAATCAAGAAGAAAGTCTTTTCGTGAACATTGGGAGGACAGACGATTCGTCTGCCACGACAGACAAATCACCTACTGTGAGACCACGTTGTCCTGCATAATTCAAATTATCCTGCAACTTGGCGAATATACACTCATTTGCAAACTAATTTGGTGTTTTTCGAGAGACTCACCTGGAACCCAGCTGAATCTCTCGTTTACGTTTTCGTATACGTTGTCCTATTTTGATACGCTCTCATTGAATCAGAGTCCCAGCTTTCGATGACAATTGGTTACGCTCGTACCGCACAGCTAAACTGACAGTGTCGACCCAAAACTTGCTTCATTCGCTGACTGCTTTTTGTGAGATGGAGCCAAACTTGACAAAACGAGTTTATTAGGCTCAGTTTGTTTATCTTGCGGAAAGGACTGCAGAAAAATAGTTTGGGCATTGGAAGTAGTTAGACAAAAAATATGAAGGCATGATAGTGACATCACAGTCGTTTGCACCTCGTCTTAGGCGTAGCACAACATCACCAAAGTTTGAAGCTTCATGCAATGCCTAATAACAGCGGCTCAAGTAGATAACTCATAAGATGACAAGGTAAAAACTTGTGATTCTCACTTGATGATATTAGAACACCGTTCAACCTAACCATTTCAAAATGATACGTGTATCACGTGATAAATCGATTATCTGGCCATGCAGAATGGTGGGGATAGATCACAGAAAGAATCCTTGTGCATGATTCTGACCGTCAATCTATTGTGTGTTGCATGGGCTTTGAGGTTAATGGGCGGTTACGCTCGGAAACGTTACCCTGTCAAGTCATTTGTCGAGATTAATTCCTTCATAATACGTAGTGAACAAATACAACACAGCCTGACCATAGTAAAATTTATTGCTAGGATAAAATATCGTACTGATATTCTGCCTGATTATTGGATTGCACTTTGACAAATGGAAGCCACATAAATCTTGCTTTAGGTGTATCAAAATTGCGTGCGAATCGGAATTCATTTTCCCAACCTCAACTGTCGCAAATCTTGTACAGTTATGAGGGGTCCAATAACCTTCAACCACTTGATTTTCTTAAATGTTCTTTTGACAAAACGAAGCAAGAAGCGGACAATTCCGGGGGTCACCGCCAATAGAAATCCCAGGCTTACAAATTAAAGGAAAGTTCGAATTGATTCATCGCTAAATTTAAAACCAGAAATCAACTGTTACTGTAATTAAATTTCAATAATATGCTCCCAGAGTGCGCCGTCAAAATATTGGCAGCTCGGGTGAGTTTATTCGTTGTTGATCAGTTCGCCGAGCTTGGCAATTGACTTGAAAACGTATGGTCACCACAGGGGGAGACACCGTCAATGCGCATACCTGTTTGTCTGCAGCAATTTAAGGCTATCTGTTATCCCATAACGTGATTGGCTGGTAAGCCGGCAGTGTTTCTCGTGAATCTATTGGTCCGTTCGTGATATTTGTTGCTGAACTGACTAGTTTCTGCGAAATGTTCATTTGCTGCAACAGGCCTTTGAATATAAACAATGCTACGTTGGAGCGCAGTGATAATCTTCGGATTAGGGTCATTAGTGGTGAAATGTTGAGAACAGCTCAACGCGTTTCTTCAGTCACCTGCATTTGGTGAAATTTTTCACAAGATATTCAGACTTGAATGGCATATTATGAGATAAACCGTGCTAGTAGATCCGATCCGCAAACTAATTTGTACCGCAATTTACTTTACACGATGGACGCAACTAACTCCCAACTCAGTCTTTCGTTTATTACATTCTTCAATTGAATGCGCTCCAGAACGTCCGTTTTTTGTTTCAGTTAGTAACTAACTCAGATCCGGTGAGAAACCAGTGAGAAGTTTGTAAACAGTGCATGTTTTACTCACAGTTGAGTCAAACTCTTCATCTGCAAAAAGTGATATAAGAATCTTCTCAACATATGGTGGTGCTTTCACTGAAGTGTACAACAGAAATTGGTTCACCTACATGAATTGAGGTATATATATATATATCCTGTTT